GGAGCTTGTCTTAAAATTGTCCTTATGATGCAGCCGCTTCAAACAGGCATTTCAGGATGAAAGAATGGATGAATTCTCTCCCCCCCCCCTCTCTCTGTCTCTCTCATACCCTCTCTCGTACTATCTTTCTCTCTCTCTCTTGTACTCTCTCTCTCTCTCTCTCTCTCTCTCTCTCTCTCTCTCTCTCTCTCGTACTCTCTCTCTCTCGTACTCTCTCTCTCTCTCTCTCTCTCTCTCTCTCTCTCTCTCTCTCTCTCTCTCTCTCTCGTACTCTCTCTCTCTCTCTCTCTCTCTCTCTCCCTCCCCCTCTCTCCCTGTCTCTCAGACAGACAGACACACACACACACATACACAAAGAGGAAAGAATAAAAAAGTAAATAGGCAATTGTCTCCCAAGATGCTAATAATATCGACCAAGCCAAATCCTGAGACTAATGTATGATATGATTTACCTCCAATATATTCAGAATACACTATTGCCATTAACATATAACATTACTGCTTGAATATTCTGGCACTACTATATAACATTAATAGAATCCTATAAAGCACTGCTATAGCCATATTATGCATGCTGATAATGATGATGATGACGATGATGATGATAAAGATGATATATTACAAGGATAATAACTTAGATGATAATGATGATGGTGAGAAGGGGGATAATAATAATAGTAATAATAATATAACAACAATAATGATAATGATAATGATGATGATGATGATGATGATGATGATGATGATGATAATAATAATGATGATAATAATAATAATAATAATAATAATGACAACAACAGTACTACTACTACTACTATTACTACTACTACTACTAATAATAAAAATAATAATAACAATTAATACTATCATTATTACCATTATCATTACTATCATTATGATTATTATCATCATCATCATTATCATTATATCAAGCCATATAAAGAGCCACACTGAAAAATCGAGAATTATACCACGAAAGGTGTCAGTGCAAAAGGGGAGAAAAGAGAGAGAATCATCAGTTATTTACGTAACAAAACATATTAGCTGAACTTTTAAATAACTATTATAATAATAACAATAATAAAATAAAATAATAATAATAATAATAATAATAATAATAGCAATAATAATAATAATAATAATAATAATAATAATAATTGAAACAATAATAATAACAACAATCAAAACAACAATAATAATAACAATCAAAACAATAATTCATTAATTCATTTCACTCTCTCTCTCTCTCTCTCTCTCTCTCTCTCTCTCTCTCTCTCTCTCTCTTCCCCACCTCCCCTCTCCATCTTTATCACTCCTTCTCACATTTCTTTACTTTTCACCCATTCTCTCAATCTCTCTCTCTCTCTCTCTCTCTCTCTCTCTCTCTCTCTCTCTCTCTCTCTCTCTCTCTCTTCCCCACCGTCCCTCTCCATCTTTCTCCCTCCTTTTCTCATTTCCTCATTTTTCATTTCGTATCTTTTATAGTTCTTTCTTCACTTCTTTCCAATATCCCAAGTCATAAAAATGCATGGGATTTGGTGGAGGTAAGGGGGGGGGGGAGGGGGTAAGCGAGGCAAGAGGGGGGAGAGGGAGGCGAGAGGGGGGAGGTGGGGGGGGGGGGGGGAGAAAGGGACAAGGCTCAATGACGATAAGGCAAGCAAACATTAGGGTGGAGAAGACTGAAGAGAGGGAGGAATGGGAGAGGAGAATGAAGGGGAAAGTAGTAGCACAGAGAAAAGAAGGGAAGCGAAGGGAAGGGAAGAGAGGAGGAGAGAAGAGAACAGAAGAGAACAGGAGAGAGAGATACAGACAGATAGACAGTTAAATAGAGATATGTAGACCGAGAATGAGAAAAAGCGAGATGGAGAGAGAGGTGAGAGAGAGAGAGGTGAGAGAGAAAGAAGGAGAGAGAGAGGGAGAGAGAGAGAGAGAGAGAGAGAGAGAGAGAGAGAGAGAGAGAGAGAGAGAGAGAGAGAGAGAGAGAGAGAGAGAAAGAAAGAGAGAGAGAGAGAGAGAGAGAGAGAGAGAGAGAGACAGACAGACAGAGAGAAAGACACTGATCGGTAACAAATTCTGTTCTGACCCAAATCGCATCAGTTTTCCTTATGCCTCATTTGCATCTTCCATATTCTCTCTCCCTTTTTATCCTCCGCCTCTCGCTTAGAGAAAGCCCTGATCTTATGTAGAAATTCTATCTACTTCACCTATATTTGGCGCACAATTCTGAAGACGATAAACACTTCATCATTCCGGATAAAATTTCGTCTGAACCGTATGGCAATTTTTACTTCCCCTTATGCCATCTTTATCATAATTGCCATTATTACAATGATGCTGATCTTGTTACTCTTATGACCAACAGAATCGGCATTCTCAAAATCTTCTCTGTTTTCATTATATTTACCATTATAACATTATCTACATTATATATTGCCATTATCATCATTATTGCTATCATTTTCATTATCCTCATCCTCATCATCACCATTATTATGTTTGTCATTATCATTATCCTTATACTTATACTCATACTTATCATCGTTATTATTATTGCCATTCTTATAATAATAGTAATAATAATCATGATTATTATTATTATCATTATCATCTTTACTTTTATTATTTTCATCATTATTATTATCATTATTACTGTTACTATCATTATCATCATAAAATACGACGAAAATAATAACAATAACGATGAGGACGGCGGTGATGATGATGATGATGATGATGATGATGATGATCATTTGAATTATTCTTATCATTATCATTACCACCATCGTTATTAGTTACTATAATCTTCGTTATTATCATCATTACTATAATCATTATCATTATTATTACAATTATTATTACTATTATCATCACTTTCTTCTTCTTATCTATTATCTATTATCAATATCCGCATTATTATCATGATGATCATGATTATTGTTATTATTACTGTTTCCTCATTATTCTCATTTTTATTATTACCAGCACTATATTAATAATAATCATTATTATTTCTATCATTACCATTATTCCTATCATCACTATCGTTATCATTACTACCATCACGGTTGCCACTGTCATCATTATCATCATCATTATCAACACTATCAACAAAAACAACAAAATATCGCACGTGCAGTGCAATAATCACGACTTTCTCCAAGGACGACAAAAGGCAGGAATTCGAATCAACTCCACATTTTCCTTCATTACAGGAAACCCCCCCCAAAAAAAACAAAAACAAAAAACAGACCAGGAACCGGTACCCAACTTCGAAATCATTAACGCAAAGCAATATCGATTCCCTCCACAGATCCTCGTGGTTTCGGCCGAGAGTGGTTTGGCGAAATGCATTGTCATTTCATTCCAAGGGAAGTTCTGGGGCCGGGTACTTTAGATCATGCTATTCCGAGTGTTTTAAAGTTTGAGAACAATAGGACAAAGGTAGGGGGAAAAAAAAAGACACGTACTCTTTTTTTTTCCCTGTAGGACTTAACGCATTTTCAAAATTTTTGTAAAGAGATTTTCGCAGTTGATGAGTTTTAGCTATTCTGAGAATCGTCGTAATTACTGTTATTAATGTCACTCTTACGAATATGATGAAAGTGATGATAATGGATGTAATAATGGCGAATAATAATAACAAAAGAACGATAATGTAACAATGATTATCATATATTTATTTATTTATTTATTTTTGCTAATGCGTATTCCCATCTGCCTTCATTAATCTAAAACTACTTCCCTCATCCAGTTTTCGTTTAATCCCTCTATGTATCCGCCTCTCTCCGTTCTTCCTCTTTTACCTATTTCCCCCCATTTTTCCCCTCACACATCTCTCCACCTCCCCCCCTCCCCCTCTTCCTCCCACGGCTTCCACTCACGACTGTCTCCATGGCAACGGACATGTGGCCTTTGGACAATCTCGGTCTGTTTCAAACTTGTATTGGAGACGGTTTATATTGTCTTGCTGGGAAGGCGAAGATGGAACGAGGAGAAAGCAGAGCGAAAAAAAGAGAGACAGGGAGGGAGGGCAGGAAGGAGGGAGGAGGAGGGAGGGAGGGAAGGAGGGAGGGAAGGAGGGAGGGAGGAGGGAAGAGGGAGAAGGGAGGGGGAGGGAGGGAGAGGGAGGGGGAGGGGAGAGGGAGAGGGAGAGAGAGAGAGAGAGAGAGAGAGAGAGAGAGAGAGAGAGAGAGAGAGAGAGAGAGAGAGAGAGAAAGAGAGAGAGAGAGAGAGAGAGAGAGAGAGAGAGAGAGAGAAAGAGAGAGACTTCAATAGATGAAAGAGAAGATTGTGGAGAAAAAGAATAAGCAAATAATAGAGCAAGAGAGGACGAGAAGAAAGAAGTCTAATCAAAGCGTAATTAGCAACTCGTCATTTCCTAATCACTTTTTTTCCATATCACCATGAACAGTATTTGTAATTACTGCATGTACTGGGACATCTGCCGGCAA